CTGTCAAATGTCTCTGGCTGCAACACAGGTGGCAGCCTAAGTTCAGTTCAGTTTATTTTTATAGTGCCAAATCACAACAAAGTTGTCTTAGGGCACTTTACAGGAACATTCATATACATAAAAGCCAATTAGTAAAGTTCTCTATCTAAGGAATCCAGCAGACAAGTTGAATCTTGGCTTCGTTGCAGTCTCCCATCCTGAGCAAGCACAGTGGAGACAGTGGAAAGGAAAAACTCTCTAAGGAAGAAACTTCCAGCAGAACCAGATTCTGGACAAGAGGCCATCTGCTTTGACCGGCTGGTTGAGAGGACAGGAAGGAGAGACAAACGAACACAGAATGGTAGGTCCAGGTATATGTCAAAAAATAAACAGAGCAGCAAGTTTAAACATGCAAATAAAAACACAAAAAGCCACATTATCCTGATGCATGCTCAATAATCCAGATAGAAAAATCTAAAAAAGTTAAATCTGGTCCTCTGGACATTCAAAATATATATATATATATATATATATATATTTAAGAGACTGAGCTGAATACAGCACCTCAGACTGAAGAAGTCTCTCGGACGAGAGACTAAACGTTTCTACATTTTTTTGTTGATTTGCTTTGTTTTGGGGTTTTTTTGAATGTCCAGTGGACCAGATTTAACTTTTTTAGAAAAAGCCACATTATTACAATGAAATTAAATAACTGTTTTCACTTAGACTGATGCAATATCCTGTTGTGCTGCATCTGTCTGATGTGTCTGATGCCCATTCTGCATCACAATACACCTTCAATCCTAGTCTCTGTTTTGTTTCCTTTAAAGCAAAGTTTTTGTCCATTGTGCCTTTAAGGTATCTGAATGTGTATTACTGTGTTCCAGTGTTCTTGAGTTGACTCAATAAAGTGCTGAGATAACTTACTAACCACAAAGCTCAAGTCTGGTCTGGTGCAAGTGGATAAGTAAATTAAACTCCCTACTTCTTCTCAGTATTTTCTTGGTTCCTTCATCTTTTCAATGCTTTTTGTGGTCAAGCTTTGACTCGCATGGTGTCTCTCTAGCCTTGCAATCTTGCATTTCAAACTTTTCAAGTAGTTTCCTCACATATCTCTCCTGTGACATTTTAGCTTCTCCATCTGTCTGTTCAAAATCTATTCCTAAGAAATGTTTTAGCTTTTGCAGGTCTTTCATTTTGAACCTTTTAGTGAGCATGTATTTTACTCTGTTTAGCACCTTTTCACAGTTGGCAACTATTATCAGGTCATCTACCCAAATGATTAAGATTACCTTTTCATTCTGTCTTTTCTTTGTGTACACACAGTTATCAGCAGGATCCTGTACAAAACCATTTTCAACCATACATGTGTGCAACATTGCATTCCAGTTTCTACCTGACTGCTTGGGTCCATACAGGGATTTCTGTAACATGTGCACCTATTTTTCATCACTTTGTCTTTTTCTGATGGCCTTCTGGCTGTTCCATGTAGATTTCAGTGTCTATTGGAGCATGCAAGTAGGCTCTTTTACATCCATTTGATGCAAGATGAGGTTCTCCTGTGCAGCCTTTTGCATATGAAGTGTCACACTTGTTATTTCGGTTGTGGGTGAGAATGTTTCCTCGTAGTAAATTCCTTGTTTTTGACTATATCCTTTGGCTACAAACCTTGCCTTGAACTTTTCTGTCCCATCACTGTCTGTTTTGAGTGTGTAGACCCATTTACCCCCGACTCTCCGTTTGCCTGGTGGCAGATGGGTAAGTTTGACGGTTTCATTCTCCTCCAGTGATTCCATCTCCTCGTCCATGGCTCTCTTCCACTGTTCTGCCTTGGATAATATTATGGCTTCCTGGTATGTTAAAGGAATATCACACACTCCATAACAGATGTCTTTACATGTCTGCAGTTCATCCTCCACATCATCTGTCTCATACTCTTGTAGGTATGCTTGTTTCCTTTTTGTTCTCTGTGGATTTTTCCTGATTGCAGTTTTGGTGGTCTCATTTGATTGTGTGCTTTTAGTCTGTTAAGGGGCAGGCTTTGTCAGTGATGTGTACAGATTTATTATTTGTGGCTTGTTTATCCCTTAATAATGTTCTCTGAATTTTCAGAGCTTTCCTACCATTATCTCCAGCTTCGTGCCTTATTAGCAAGAGGCTTTTATCATCCAGGACCTTAACTAACTCTGCATCACAGTCCGCATTTTTCCTTCTGTCTTCAGTTAGCCGTCCTTCATCATCGGTGTTGGGTATGAACAAGATGGTTTCTTTCATCTTGAATTTGTGCAGGATGGCGAGAAATCTTGTCTCCCATAAGTCGTATTTCTCCTCACATCCATCGAATAAAAGCGGGGATACAGAGATATTTGCTTCTCTGTTCCCCATTGGGTCGGAAGTACTAGCTTGCTATACTCCTTTTACTACTAAGCTAACCTCTAGCTCTAACATCCTGATGCATGCTCAATAATCCAGGTAGAAAAATCTAAAAAAGTTAAATCTGGTCCTCTGGACATTCAAAAAAACAAAACAAAGCAAAACAACAACAAAAATGTAGAAACGTTTCGTCTCTCATCCGAGAGACTTCCTCAGTCTGAGGTGCTGTATTCAGCTCAGTCTCTTAAATAGCACCTTCTCAGAGTGGATCAACCAGTTTTGC